CTATAAAATATGTGATTAAAATTAATTGTTAACTTAAAATCTAGATTTTAATCCCTACAAAACAAAAATTTCAATATGAGCACATATCATATACTTGATTTGTTGCAGATATATTGGTCAGTGAGTACAACTCATAAAGATCCCAAATACTTTCCGAAACCAGAAAATTTTGATCCTACAAGATTTGAAGGTAACGAGCGTTAAGTTATATATTATTCAGCTAAACATAATTTTCGCAGTTACTTTTCTTACTTCAATAAATGATAGAAACTAACCTTTTAATTTAATTATTTTGAAGGTGATGGGCCTCTGCCATATACCTTTACCCCCTTTGGAGGAGGTCCAAGAATGTGCCCTGGTAATGAATTTGCACGACAGTTGGTACTAGTTTTCATCCACAATTTGGTAAGAAAATACAGTTGGGAGAAACTTCTTCCAAACGAAAAGATTAGATTTGATCAGGGGCTAGCTGTTCCTGTAAGTGGTCTGCCAATCAAGATTCAATCACATAGAGATCAAGCAGTGGAATGAAAGCTAGTCAGAATAAGCTTAACTCACAAGTTAAATAAAATGAATAAGTTGGCTCTTAAGCTATTAGTCATCTGCTGCTTTTGTGTTTATCTTCCGTTATACTATAATATTGCTTGTAATAGTTGGAAATTTTGATACTTATTACAACTCTTTTAAGATTGTAATATGTTGTCAAGACTTAACCATAAATAATCTTTGTTGTGTATTCAACGCCATTGAGTGCTGAAGATATTAAAAAAAAATAAAAAATAAAAATAAATAAATGTATTATTATCAATAGCTATATTTTTTTGTCCTCCATTGACAGTCTGAAAGATATTCATAAAAAAGAAAATAAGACTACATTACTAAATATTAATCACTGCAAAAGTTAGCTTGAAAATATTAAGGTGTTTGGAAAATAAAATAGAACGATAATACAAATTCAATCTGAATATCTAATTCACTGTTGTAGAGCGTTCACAAAACTGAGCGAAGTGTGTTGATATCCATCCACAGTAACATAGGATCATAAAAATTAGAGAAATTATGCAAATCTTCCCTGAGGTTTATGATAATTACAGTTACATTCTCTCTTTAAAAATTTCAAAAAATCACCCTCTATGTTTACTTTTTATAACTGATTCATTTTGCCCCTTATTCTATTTCAAAATTATTATATTTAATCTATATTGTTTCCTATTCTTACTTCTTAAGACACTTTTCATTTAAATGAAACCATTTTTGTTAAAAAAAAATACCATTATAAATCTGACCATAAACTTATAAAATTATTAGAGAAGATTATTTTTTTCCAAATAAAACTAACAAATAATTAACAAATTGACATAAACATCTATTTTAAAATAATTTATTAAAGTTAGTTGAAGATTTTAATACCATTATAATTTTGTTATAAGATTAATAAATTATTAAATAGTACTATTGTTCAAATATGTTTTACAAATAATTAACAAATCAAACTAACAAATGCATTAGAATAATTAATAGAGCTAGTTGAAAATTTTAATACCATTTTACATATAGTTATAAAATAAACAATTATGATTTTAATATTGAGACATAATTAACTAATCAATGTAAATAAATGATTTAGAATAATGTAATAAAATGGTTGAAATTCAATTAATATTTTATATCGTTTGATTTAGTAGCATTTTCTCTAATTTTGCATTTTTATATTCTTTACATTTAAAATGTACTAACTTCAGAAAATTAAATAAAATATTTTCATTATATTAAAAATGAAAAAACGGCTTCAAAAGTAATATTATCATAAGATTCATTTTAATTAATCTTTTTATTAAACATTTTAGATCAATTTTAATTTGTCCATTAATTGAGAAATTAATATTCACAAAATAAGAATACATACATACATACATACATACATACATACATACATATATATATATATACATATACATACATATATATATATACATATATATATATATATACATATATATATATATATATGTATACGTATAAAAATATCAAAAGAAAAACGTACAGTTAATTATAAAAATTTTGAATTAATTAAAATAATGTCTCGTTAAAATCTTGTTAAGGAATTTCAATGGAACAAATTTTTAGAGAAGGAAAAAGAGTACAATTCTTCCCTAGATTTCAATTAATGAAAATTCTTATATCGAGTCATCCATGTCTTATACGACAATATCTTCATTATCGCAGTCTGATGAAGTATGTGTCATATTGCCTTGTAATAGCCTCCAAACAATATCACTTTCATATGAGAGATTAATCAACCTTTGGTATCTATAATATAACATGATCGTTCAATAAAAATGATCTCATTTTTGCTCTCTTCAGGAGTACTCTTGTACGCAATTTACAATATATAAGAGTATTATTTTAAGGGTAAATGTCTTGTACATTATGAACATCTGTTACATAAAGATTACGTTTAGTTAAAACCTTACTGAAAAAATCATTTTAGAAAAAGTCCCACTAAAAGAAAAAGAGTACATTATTCCTTTGATTATACTATAAAAGTTGTTTCATTAAAACTTTTGCCAAGAAAATTTAATGACACAAAGTCTTGGTAAAAAAAAAAAAAAGAAGTTACATCAAGTATCTACCAATTTATAATATTATCACTTGAGCTATATACTTCAGGCATGTTAAATCATTAAAGAATTTATATGTGATTGTATCCATATATATATATATATATGTGTGTGTATGTGTGTGTGTATCTACATATACATATGTATGTAGATATATATGTGTGTGTGTAGGGAAGCATTCCTCCTATATATGAATTTGACAAGTATTTTTGATAAATAATCGTGATCTTTAGATGAAACAAATCCAACAGTTAGTATCTCATGGATCTCAAGTGGTTATAACTAACTCTTCCATGATTTTAGTGAAATATATACTAACCGTTGGATTTGCTTAATCTATATATTACGATTATTTGTTAAAAATACTTGTCAAATTCATATGTAAATAGGAGGAACGCTCCTCATATATATGTGTGTGTGTGTGTGAAATTCATTATGTTAAGTCTTGCATTACATGTTACAAATTTTTTTTTTCTCATTTCTTTTTTCCGTAAGTATATACATTTTGATGTTGTACTGCAAGTCCAGAAACTTCTGATTTTTCTAGTAAATTTAATTTTGCTAAGACCGCGTTCTTTTATTTTGTCAACTATTTCTACATTGAAATTCTTCAATGAATTTCCTTCTATATCATTGTTTTCATTCATAATATGAAGTGCTACATTATTTACAAAACTATTGTCAACAACTTTTCCTTTTCGATCCCATTTCTTTTCACATAATGATACAAGTTATTGAGACATATTAGTTTTAAATATTTTAGGCACCTAAAGCTCTTATGAGTTTTTTCAATATGTTATATTCATATACTCATTAACAGTGTTGGTTTCCTCAAAAGGACAAACGATACTATTGCTCTATTTTGTATTGAAGATTTTTGTCTTTGATATCAAATACCATCACGCTTCGGGTCTGTAAAAAATTTATCAAATATAATACTAATAAGTTGCCGTATTAGGATGTCAATTCAAGCTGGAACATTTAGAGTTGATTTGTGAGAATTTTTTCTCCCTTTGCAAAAAATGCATTTAAAAGAATTATTTTTCAAACTTTTAGCTCCAATTATCTTGTACGAGGGTCTAGATAATATAAATGATGCATTATGTTTATTATTTCAAATTCTTAATCCTTCCCCTAATGTTGAGAAAATTGTCCAATCAAAATAACATTTGACAAACCGTGTTATAAATATCACCATTTAAGGCTTAAGATACATTATAAGAGTTCAAAGTTAAACATGTTTTCTTAACATTTTACAATATCCATCTTAGTGCACAGTGGTGGAGTGAGCCCTTGCTTGGATCTCATTTTAACAAGATTATACGATCAAAATACATTTTACTACAGTGATAGATGAATTGAAAATTTGAAATCTGTCAATGCACTACAACAAAAGCAGTCATTTACGGCATGCATTTATTGCATGCCATAAAAATAGATTAATTACGATGTGCACAAAAAGTAAGCCTTTAAAAATCATTTAGTAAAGTTATTTAAAATGCATGCCATAAAAATAGATTAATTACGATGTGCACAAAAAGTAAGCCGTTAAAAATCATTTTGTAAAGTTATTTACGACGTGCAAATGATGCACGCCGTATTAAGCCACTATTTATGGCGTGCATCTGTTGCACGCCGTCTTTTGCTCAAAAATTAAACGTATTTACGGCGTGCTTGTCCTAAAAAACCTAATTAAACACGACAATTTTCTCCCATTTGTAAGTTCTCCTCCTGTCGTTCCTTTTCGCCCATCAACCCTGCGCTTCCTGTGTTGCCACCAATACACCACAACCACCATCCTCGACTCCACCTCTTCACGACTTCGCCGGGCGCCTCAGCTCTCACTCGCCGCCTTCCACTGCTGACCATGGGCACTAGCTCTCACTCTCGTCGGTAGCCTCCCACAACCCAAATCAAAATATTTCTGTAAGGTAAGGATTCTTCAAATTAATACCCGTCCCTATCTTGATAGGGGTCTAGTTTCTAGAAGGAATTGTATGATTTTTAAGCTATTGAATGAGTTAACATGAATTAGATTAATACCTAAAATTAGATTATTGTTTGGCTATTTCCTGATTCGTTATGTCATTCGACTTGATAATGAAATTAATTTTCGTATTATTGTATTTTTATATATGGAGTTTGAAATATTTTCCGTTGTTGATGAAATTTTTTATTTTGAGTGTTTTTTAAGGTTATATTTTGGTTGTGTTGTTTGATTTTTGAATGATTTAAATTTAGGTGTTTTCAGTTATATTTCATTGTTGTTTGGCATTGTATTGATGTGTATATTTATAAAATCCAGTGATTAAGTCCCCTTTATGATTTTATTTTTTCTTTACAACTCTGTTTTTATTTGCTGGAGAATAGGAGACAAAATTAGATAACTGCTTTATGTTTTCTGCTATTCCTTGTTACGGGGATATTTTTTATAGTAGTGCCTTGTGATGAAACTTTTGAGTATATACTTGGGTTGTATTAGTGAAGCTCATTTTCTTCTTACAATAAGGGAGATAAATATATTCCATTTATAGATATTTCACCGACTCTGAAATGGATTTTGTTTGTTGATCCACTGCATTCTGTGCTATGTTTTTCAGATTTTGCTGAATGTTATCTGCCAATCGTCACTAGGAAATAATGTGTATGTTTTGAAGGCTATTGAAGATGCATTCTTGCATGGGCTTCCGACATAAAACAGAAAAAGAAGCATGAATCATTAATTAGTTCATAGAACTATCGGTAGTTTTTTTTAGTGAAGGAAAAGCATATATCATGTAGAACCTCACCAATAATCAGTACATTGTAATAATCAGTTCATCTCCTTGATCAATTGCAACTGGTGGTAGCTGCAGTGATGTCAATTCCTTATATATATATATATATATATAGAACTATCGGTAGTTTTTTTTAGCTAAGGAAAAGCATATATCATGTAGAACCTCACCAATAATCAGTACATTGTAATAATCAGTTCATCTCCTTGATCAATTGCAACTAGTGGTAGCTGCAGTGATGTCAATTCCTTATATATATATATATATATATATATATATGGTGAGCTCTCTCTGTGGAGACAAAAGTGAGAGGGGGGAAGAAAATGGGAACCCCCTCTTTCTAGGGTTATCCCTCTCACCTATTGGAGAGAACTTTTTTATATACGTTACAGATTGATAATTTGCGATTTGTGATAATGTGTGAATCTGTGATAATTTGAAATTAGAATGAATTTGCTACTTGTTTTCCTTTGTAATTATGAATCTTCATGCTTTGTTGCTTATAGTTGACAGGAGTGGCTTGTAGTTATAGTTGAAGACATTGCACGAGAAAAAGCAAGAAAACACAGCCCCACTGCACTTTGCATGCCTGTCCCTCTTTGATCACATCGCACACTGTTTGTGTGTGGGAGAGGGAAAGAAATTGCACAGGCAAAAAACAAGATAATAAATGAAGAAAAGCATAATCAAACACTCTGGTGAAGTTACAAAAACAACCCATGTATTATCATAACTTTTTTTGATTTTTTAACTTTTGATATCACGTGCTTCTTTCTTTATACCAAATTATAAAAATATTAACTCATCATTCCACTATGTTGAATAGCTGTTAAAGTAGTTCCCTTGGTGCTTGACATCAAAGCTCCATTTAATCATTTTCAGAGGGCTCTTGGATTCATAAAATAAACCGATTGGGTTTTCAGATAGCTCTCTCAGATTTCTCATTTGTTGGTTAGTCTTTGTGCTTTTTCTAGGGCATCATGAAGTTCCATTAAAATGGGTAGATTAAATTCCCAGGACTTAGATTTTGAGCTAGTTGTATTAAATTTAAAGAATTATGTTTTCTATTTACACTTCCCTTGTACCAATTGTAGTACATGGGATTTCTAATTTTTGAAGATCTGCACTGGTGGTCATAAAGATTGGTGTTTTCTTTTCTTTTCTTTTCTTTTCTTCAAGTGTTTGCAGAGAGATTCTACTATAATGGAATTTAGTCCAGTACCTTATGTTTACTTCTGGGATCTGAATTTCAATCTGATAAGTACTTTTTTCTCTGTGGATATTTCAGTCAATTGCTAAGTTTCTGTAGATGGGCGAGTTTCAAATCCAAAATTAGACCTTTGTTTTCCTTATCTTAATTTCACAATTCATTAGGCAAATAATGTTACAATTCAGGTCCTCCTAGCATTCTTGCTTCTATGGGTTTAACACTTTTAACTGGCCATTGATTACCATTGAGTGGAACTTGATCACTGACATGTGATGAAATTTCAGGTACAGGCAGCTTACAAATAAGCATTGCTAAAGTCTCACCCAAATCGAGCTCCGCAGTCGTGGTTGGAAAGCATTCTTTTGTTTGTAAAATAACTTATTGGTGTTGGTCGAACTTATATCTGTTGGTTGAAGAAATAGAAAGTATTTGTTACATTGGTTGGTACATTTTATTTATATATGATAAATGTTTGTGTTAATTTTTTCATCTTTAAGCTTAGAATAATTAGTAAGTTTAATGTTGTTTATCATGCTAGCTTGTACTAAAAAATATTTAATTTTTATCTTAGTTGAGTAAGAATTAGATTTGTGTAATAGGTGTTGATAATCAAATAAACAAACATATTTTAAAAAAATTAAATTAGCTTTTACGGCGTGCAAAGCCACGCCATTAAAAGTACAAAAAATCCCATTTACGACGTACGTGGTAAAAACAATCGCATTTACGATGTGCGTCAGCATGCCGTAAAATAATGGGCATTTTTACGGTGTGCAATAATACGCTGTTAAAAGATATACACTGACCTTTTACGACGTTCTCTAACGACGTGGATTGCACGTCGTAAAAACTTTTACATCTTTTAACGACGTTCTCTAATGGCGCGCATTGCACGCCGTAAAAAGTTAAGATTTTTTACGGCATGGCTTTATATTGCGTGCACCCGCACGTTGTAAAAAGTGAATTATGTTGTAGTGATACATTTGTCAGATGAACTAGAAAATCAAAATGGCCATTGAAAAGTGAATGACAAAAAATCCTATTTTGGTCAATTAAATTGCGCTATTACCCTCAACCCATTACCCTAGAATTCTCCCCATTCAAGGGCAAAAATGGAACGTTGTGCATAATGTACTGCTTATCAATGGAAAGAAGTCAAATATGTATCATATGGTGTCAAACGATTTTCAAGATATTCAAACTAAGGGGGCCACATTTGTAGAAAATGAGTTAGCAAAATGTAAAAGAAATGGGGCTGAATGGACTCTAAATATATTGTATTATAAAAAAGCATCAGATGAAAATATTCGGCTCTCACCCCAGGCCAAATATAGTAAAGAAATTTGATGTTCGCAGGATGCTAAAAGTTCTGCTATATATAAAATATCATTCTCTAGACACAAATAGAAATCATTTTGTTCTCTATGATAATAGTTTAGAAATTATTATGAGGACCTAACAATCAATTGTGTTCAACATTTTATTATCACCTCAACTAACATTTATGTGAAGTTTAGGATTTAGGTTCACTAGCATCAACAAGAGTCACCATCTTGATTGTATATTTTGATAATTGTGCCCATGATTTAAAATTTGAGTACGTAGTCTCACAAATTTCAAGTTGTAAAATATAATAACATTATACAATCACCTAGTAGATATATATATGTGATATATAAATAATAACTAAATGGTCAATATTGAGGTTATGAGCCCCATATATCACCCTAATTAATTTCTACAAATACAGGGAATTCAATTTTGTCTAGTGAAGGTCTGCTAGTAGTTATACCCCAAGAGCAAGCAACATAAGGGAATTCTGAATTCATTGAAAGTATCTTCTGCTTCTTCAATTAATATTTATTCGAACTTTTAATAATTATTGCATCATGATTAATCTAGGATGATCGAAACAATCATGCCAAATAATGAAATATTCATAAAAAAAAAAAACCGGAGGAATGGAGTGATGGTTATTTACCTAACTCTATTTCTAAACATGAAAGCTTTTTTCATAAACCACATTCATTAAAAAGAGGTCATTCCACAAATTTTCAAGATAATTTTTATGGGCGAAAAGTGAAAATCATATATAGTATGGTTGGAAAATTTTATAAATAGATTGTAAAGAGTTCCGAATCGTAGATAATATTTGTGAATATTTCAAAATGTGTGAATTTTATTTCATACACATGAGCCAAATGTAGGCTTAGTAATTTAACAACCCCAACACCAACCCCAACCCCAACCCCACACCCGAAATGAGTTTGTTTTGAATGATTCACAAGTCATTTTCTTCTGATAACAAAATTTTGTAATCAAACATTTCCAAATAAATAAATAACTTTTCAGGAAATTACTTCTTAATAACTGCTTGTTTAAGCCCTATCAAGAAACAATTGACAAAACATTGTTTGGGACACAAAACGAGGAAACTTTCATGTTGGCAACGAGAGGCAAAGTAAATTGAATCAACATGATGCAAGCAACAAAAAATGGAGGCCAAAATAACAACTATGCGATCGTATAGTTGCTCAAGGTATGCGATCGCATGCATATCGACATGGAATCTCAGATTGCAACACAAGTGTTCTATGTGACCGCATTCCGTAACACTATGCAGTGGCATAGTTAAAAACGAGGACGCGTTTTTTCCCTTTTTCACGAGATTGTGTACTTTGTTTAGAATTCTATTTTTTTGGAAACTTTCATTACCAGGAGACTTTAATTCCATTTTTCCTTATTTCGTTAGGGTAGTATAAATATGTTATTCAAATTTCATTGTAACAACACACAACTTTATTTGAGAATTTCTAATAGAGAGGCAATTTGCTTTCTTCATCTTGTTCTTTATTGAATTCATTGAACTTAGCAAGAATTCAATTCTTGTGGCATTCTACAATCCGAGTGTGGGTCTTTAATCGTGTAATCAATGGGTCTTTCAAGCTTTGATCTTGTTGAATTTTTTGGTTCATTGATTTTGGGTTCAAACTCTCAAACTTCTTAATTGGCTTTTCTAGGGTTCTAGCAATCTAGTTGTGAGTTTCGTAGTCAACGCTACTGTGGGTTCGCATCAGTTGGTATCAGAGCAACAAGTTATATATTTTTATTTTTTCATTGAGTCTTATTTTTAGTTTTCCGCATTTTTTTAATTTTCTTTTCTTCATTCTTCGTTCTTGAGTCTTTCAATTGTGTTTTCGTCATTATTGTGTTTTTCGTTGTTTGAGCCGTTTTGTTCATTAAATTGTCATCAAGTTTCCCAAAAGTGTTTTTGGACACCAAAAATCCACTTTTGTCTAATTTGTTGGTAGTTTAATTTGTGGTTACTGTTTTAGTTTACAAAAAAAACAAAAACAAAAACAAAAAAAAGCCAAAAATAAAAAAAATAAACAAAAAAATAAATAAATAAACAAAAACAAAAACAAAAAAAAAAAACAAAAAAAAAATTTCCACTTCGAGTTTTGAGTCATTGAATTTTCTTTCTATTCGATCAAGTCGAGTCCATTAATTCTTGAGGTCCTTAACTCCATTAAAAATTTCTTCAAGTCCTTTGTCAAAACACAATCCTTGATTTACATCCGGTTGAGAATTCCATGGGTTTTAAAATTTTTTAAGTTCACTATTGTTCTTTGAAGCGTTCGGAAGAAAGCACTGAATGGTAAAAGGTAGAGTGGTGAGTTTAATAGAGGGAAAAGCCATATCGTGTTATTTCCGAGTGAAAAATCGGTGAGGCAGAAAAAAATTCTAGTTTTTAGGATGTCAGAAAGAGAAGATTTCAATTCAAGTCGTTACGGTAATCCCAACAATTCTTGGGATGATATGATATGGTGTTTCGAAAGGATGCTTGGGGATTTAAAGGAAAAGATGGATATACAAGCAGCTTGGATGGCACAAAGTAAGGGACAATCAGTAGAAGTGTCAAATGCTAGGGGATCTGGTAGGCGAGAACCTATGAGGCTAAGGCCTGAGGAGTATGATAGTGATGTGGATGATTATGAGGTTAATGACGTTAATTTGGGACGAACGAGGATTATAGGCGATAGGATAGAAAGATGGGATAGGAATAATGTTGGAGATGAGGTAGATGGTAATTTGGAAAATATTAAAATAGCAATACCGTAATTTAAGAAGAGAAGTGACCCGGAGACATACTTAGAATGAGAGAGGAAGGTTGAATTTATTTTTGAGTGTCATAACTATTCGGAGGAGAAAAATGTGAAATTAGAGGTTCTCGAATTCATTGACTATGAAATATCTTGGTGGGATCAAATGGTTACTTCATAGCGTAGGCATGAGGGGAGACCAATTAGTACTTGGGATGAGTTGAAGATGTTAATGAGGAAACGGTTCGTTCCTAATCACTATTATAGGGAAATCCATCAAAGGTTGCAGAGCTTGTATCAAGGGTCAAAGAGCTTGGAGGATTACCATAAGGAGATGGAAATGCTTATAATTAGGGTGAATGGGGTGGAAGATCGGGAAGCTACTATGGCACGGTTCTTGAATGGGTTAAATAGGGAAATAGCTAATGTCGTTGAATTACAACACTATATGGAGTTGGAGGACATGTTGCACATTACCATGAACGTGGAGAGACAATTGAAGAGGATGAGACAGCTAGGCAACCATTAGATTCTTCGATTTTAATCCATCGTGGAAGCCGAGGTTGGATATTAAAATAAAGGAAATGGGGATATACATAAAGGTAGGAGTAATTGGCAAAAAGGCAAGGAGAATGGGGCTAGCAAAACAATACCAAAATCGGAGTCATAACCATCAAGGAGTAGAGACATCAGATGCTTAAGGTGCTTGGAGTCGAGGCATATTGCTTTGCAATGTCTAAATAAAAGGGCAATGGTGTTGCGGGATAATAGAGAGGTGGTGAGCGAAAGTGAAGGCAAATATGATGACATACCGGCATTGGAAGAAGTCAGTGATTGAAAAAAATTGGAAGGAGCTGTTAGGGATTTACTTGTCGCGAGGAGAGCTCTTACTACTCAAATCAAGGCGGATGACATGGAGTTGCAGTGGGAAAATATCTTTCATACTCGATGTCACGTCAACGATACGGTATGTAGTGTAATTATTGATGGTGGTAGTTGCACAATCTTCGCTAGCATAACATTTGTAGAGACCTTAGGATTAACATTGTTGAGACACCCTAAGCCGTACAAATTACAATGGTTAAATAAAAGTGGAGAAGTTTAGGTTAATAGAAGGGTGTTATAAATCTTTCAATTGGGAGTTATCGAAATGAAGTAGTGTGTGATGTGGTACCAACGCGAATGGGACATTTTTTGTTGGGAAGATCATGACAGTAGGATAGGAAGGCTATTCACGATGGGTACAAAAATTGCTACAGTTTCGTCAAAGATGGGAGGACCATTACTCTTGTGCCAGTAACACTGCCGCAAGTATATGAAGACCAAATCAAGTTGAGGAATGAAGAAGAGAGAAGAGTAAACGAGTTAGAGAAAAAGA